TGTTCATATCTCGAGAACAGTAAGAGATAGAGCAAAAATAATGAAATTTTGGGAGTGCATCTATAGTGGGGTCGTACTTATAACTTCCAACCCCAAAGGACATTCATGTTTAATAAATTGTTAATAATAAACAATTTACTTCTTTTAACGATTTGTCAAGAATTAATTGTTTTTTTATGTCTCTTGATAATTAATCCAGCATTTTTTCTACAATCTGTGATAAACAATAAGAATTTGATCACTTGCGTCTTTTTTATTTATAAATATCAGTGCTCTGCAGTGGTCTGGGTGCGACCCGAAAGGTCCACACGACCAACTTCCCAGTGGAAAAAATAAAAAAACAATTTGAATAGAACCCGTTTCCATTCTTTATAACAAATGGAATTGTTATAAACGAAATGAGTGGGTTTTTATTCATTTAAAATGGTTAGTTACTTCATTTCAGTAAAATAAAAAATTGTACGTTAGAAGAATTCGAATATATCTCATAGATCCTTTTTTTCATTATTTACAACGAATTTCATAGTTATACACGAAAAAAGTATGTTTGCATTTATGGCATACGGTTGGTAACATTTTTTTAGTAAACGAAAAAATTATGCGTTAAAAGTACTCATCGATATAGAAAGGGTTCCTATTTTTATTGTTTATAACAATTTAAAACTTATTATTTAAATATTACTATGATCAATAATCACTTGTTAGTAACAATCTTCAATTGTTATGGACACAATTCCAAATTATTAACAATTATTATTGACTATTATAGCGTTTTTAATGCTGTTTTCTCGATCCTGACACGAGTTTAAAATTCTTTCATTGTTTTTTAAATTTGTTTTTTTCGATGAAATATTGTCATCATATATCCATACAAGTATTCTAATCATTTAATATTCATATTTTTAAAGATTTCGAAATTTTGTCTAAAAAATGGTATAATTTATAAATTGAGAAATTCAGGTCGTTTTGCATTTTTGCTAGTTTTTTGGTTCTGTAAAAAAAATGGTCAGACTGATTTTGCTGAAAACTTTTTCAGTTCTAAGTTACGTAATTACGCGTCGAATGCAATTGGTCCCACATCGATATCATTTTTTTTTCTCGAGATCGAGGCGAAAAATAATTCCGAACGTACGTACGCACATACGAACATACGCACATACGTACATACACACACACAGACGTCCACGTAAAAACTATTGTATTCAACTCTGGGGACCTTAAAACGTGGAGATATGTCAAAATTAGCGATTCGCAAAATCGGACCCATTACTATAACTTCCGACTGGGAAGTTAAAAATACGATATTTTTATGCGTGAAATTATTGAATGCCAAGTATTGTATTTCGAATATTAGTCACATTTATTAAAGTCAAATAGATCAAGTTTATTTGAAATAGTTTTCAATTGTTTAGAAAATTTAAAAATCATTTTTGATACTTAAAAAAAAAGGTACCTTAAAAATCATGTGAAAAAGTAAAAATACATTGTGTTAAAAATTAAAGAACATAAAAAAACACATTAAAATAGATTTAGTAATTTTAATTGTAAAATTTTGAAACTTTAACACAATGTATCTATCTCTTACACGAATTTCTCTTTCTTTTAAAGAATCACTGTTTTCCCGCCTATTTCTCTGTCTCATACAGCATTCCTAGCATTCTTACAATTTTTTTAACAATGTATCTCACTCTGTTTTACAATTAACTGACTTTACTCTTAACAAATTTTTACTTAATCATCGAGACCTTTCGCGCGATATGTTAGGAGAAAACAATAGTGATGCCGATTTACGTTAGCGTCTCCTTGATCTTTACTGTTGGCGACGATGATCTCAGAACTGAATAACTCTGCTTGTAGTAACTGGAAGTCTGCGAACTGATCCTCTGACCGGAACTTTGGGTTTACGGATTACCTCAAACCTCTTCGAACTGACTAATAACTGACTGACTGGATCCCAAATCCACGGGTTTATGGTTCGTCTCAAACCTTTACTGACTGATTTGGTTATTTTTGACGTGATTGAAACCTCTGTCTCCTGATTTGTTTCTCGAAAACTGACTCTACAGCACAGAAACTGATTTGACCCTCTAGTCCTGATTACCAAGCAATAACCCTGACTATTAACTGACTACTGACTTCAAATTACGGACTGAGAGCACTTCTGTGAGCTCTGACTCGAGAATACTTCTCTATACTAAATCGTGTGACTGTTGCGCACGCAAATAACTGAAACTTGAGCAGGTGGCGTTACTACTGACATACTGAGACCTCTGGTGGACCTTTCGAAAGCTCTCTGAATTCAAATATTTCGGGCGGGAACACGTACAGCTGTGATCATGTCACAAAATGATTTCCTTAACTAATTTTTAAAATTTTTTCTACTTCCATAGAATCTTCGATAACTCAGAAAATAAATTGAGTAATAATCGTTAACCTCAATCCTTGAATTTTCTGTGCTTTTCAATTTTGAACTTCTCTAAAAATGAAAAGAAAATAATTATCTAAAATAATTGAAATACACGCTGGCATTGCACTTCCCGTGTTCGACGAAAGTACGGATGACGAATTTTGATCAAATACAACGTTTTTTTCTAAAAATCAAAATATTTCTAATAAGATTAGTAATACTTAGTTCATATGTGGCTGGTTATTCGAAATTGTTTCTCATTCATCGGTTGACAATAAAAACCATTTTATAACTATTGTACAATATTTCTTCAAGAGATGTTGGTAGCTCGCCGGTATCTCTTTTGTCATCCATCTGAAGATTAGTTGAAGTTGAGTAGGCCAATTTTAGGGGGAGGGGAAGTTATTTATTTAACAAATACTTGAGTTATCATTTCTGTTTTTCGATTATCTATAGCTGGATGTGATGAAGAACTGGCTTGGTCTAGAATACCATCTTCTCAAATTTCAACGTTAATATCTGACATTTTTACATTCGGTAAAGAATATTTATTTACATCATCATTGTTAAATAAACTAATAAATGTGTTATAAAGTTCCATAGGGCTTTTACTTTAAATAACCATCCGCACGCGATATGAAGTATATAACTATGTAAAATGGTATCTATTATTAGTTTACCTATCTTCAGGATCATGAAGACACCAATGAATCCTGCACTGATAGTTTTAAATTTTACCTTCCATGAATCTGCATGCGAATTTGTCGGGCGGAGTTAATACAATAGCTTGGCTGTTTTGTAGAACCTCCTGCAGTTTACACTTATGCATCATTACATTATGATATACAGGTTAAAGCTGATTTCCAATGCATCTTTCAACATAACCGAATTTTAGTTACTCCTACTCGACCGAGTGAAGTTCCAATACCCATAAGGTTTTAGATGTTCAGTCTTTAATAATTTAAGATCACATAAGTCTTTAGCTTCAATTACAGATAATAAAAATGTAGTGTCTTTCGACTGAACTGTATGAATCATATCTTTCTTATTTTGTAACCTTTGAGCGAACCCTCTATATAATGTTCAATATGCAGTCGTTGAACGATATATAGAATTTCATTCGATTTTCCATCATTTTCTAATATTGAATATTTGATATTCGGAATATTATCATTTTATTCTCTAAATATGTTCATTAATAATTAATAATGATTTTGTTTCCAATGTAAAAATGAAAATTGGAACTTACATTTTATCGAACATTTATAATGTAAATCAAAGCGAATTTCAATTTGAAAAGCATTTCGGAAGAACTTTAACACTGGAAGATGAAGATAAAGTTGACTGGGAAAATCTATTCCTTCGACAGGTAACAGTTATACTATGCAACCAACAGTATCCGTGGACAGAAAATTGTTGTTCCTAATTACTTTAAGTATAATTTAGAAAATTGAACTAAGCAGGCTATGAAACGTCGATGGTTGATGAATAGCCACAGCGTACTTTTTGATATAACAATAATCACCGGGCAAAAACTTTGTTAACTAGTATAATCACTATATAATGATAATATTTGTAAGTAAATATTTAACCCCTGACAGACACACATCTCAACAGTATTTTTCTCCAGACAATGAGGGTGAAAAATACCCAATACTAAATTAATTTTAATATCTTGACTTCGAATGAAGCTAGCAAGATTTTCCTCGATCAAATTAAACTTCACACGATTAGGCGTAAGATAGACTTATTATCTAAGTAATTTACTTAATCGCGCAAAAATAAAAAATCATTTACTATGACAGCTATTTTTGTTAATTATCACCTCAATTTATCGATATTATTGATCAATTAGAAAACTGTAATACCGATAATACGAGCCCGATCTCGACTTGTGCTACGAAATTTCGTATTTAAAATGCACGTACGTTAGATCTACTTATACTCTAGATTCTCTAAATTAAATTTTGTTATCAAAATTTCTCTACTTTTAATTTCAAACTTTGCATTGATATTAAATCAATTCTGCGACGCTCATTATAAAAAATAATTCAGGGAATTAGTTCTACAATTCTATACACCTTATTAAAGCAATGTTACACAATCTCAACTTCAAATGTACAGACTCAACACTTAAATTCGAGTTTTAATATATTCAAGCATTCATTCAATTTTCATCCAGTTCAGTCTTGATTTTTCATGACTTTTAAGTCTTAAGCTTTTTTCAACAATACGTTTTTAGTGTTGAGTATACATCTTCTTTATTATTTTTGAATAGATTTTTCTTGTTAATATAAAATTGATCTCAATTTGTAATATTTTAATAATTTTTGAAGTTGTTTACGAAAGAGCTTTATTAACAACTTTATTCTTGTTGATATGTTCATCCTCTATTTAAATTTACTTTAAAACTTCAATTATGAACTGGTATAAAATGTTTTTATGCTATACATCGAGAAAATTACTCTTTAATAAATTTATGTCTGCGAGAAACTTCGAATGAAATAAATTAATTATCTATTGTTAAATAATCTGAAGAATAAATTTTCTCTCATTTAGATAAGTTTAATAATGTATTCTTTTTATCTTTCAGATTCCTTCCACATCCGCAGTTGAAAATTCACTGAGGATTCGTATAAAAATGGACATGAGAGTTGTGAATTACTAAGACGGTGGTATGTTAGAACTGTTTCATCTCCCTCTTCGAGGGAATATTGCTTTTGTTGTATTTATTTTGAATAGTACTTGTGTACTACTATCACGTGCTGCAGCATTTCCAGATTGGACTGATTGTCCAGTTGTTTGTAGCTGTAAATGGTCATCAGGAAAAAAATCAGCATTTTGTCCAGATGCTGGTCTTACATCTCTTCCCGCATCACTAGATCCAGAAATGCAAATACTTGATTTATCTGGCAATAGCATACCAATTTTATTGAACGAAATTTTCAAACGTGCTGGACTGGTTAATCTTCAGAAAGTTTATCTTCGTAATGCTGGTATTCAAGAGATAAATTCGGATGCATTCAAGGACATGCGCATTCTTATCGAAATTGATCTTTCTGATAACAACATTGTACGTTTAGAACCGAACACGTTTTTGGGTAATGAAAGACTTAAAGAACTTACGCTGAGTGGCAATCCTTTAGTCACATTGGAAAGTCATCAGTTTCCACTTCTCAAGCATCTTCGTATTTTAGAATTACAACGATGTTCACTAACCCACATTCATAGCCATGCGTTCATTAGTCTTTCGGGCTTAGAATCTTTAAAGCTTGATAGTAATTACTTGACTTACCTAGAAGTATCAACGATTTCTTCATTAACGAATCTCAAAACTCTAACATTAGATTCTAACAAATGGTCATGTGACTGTAAATTAAAAAATTTTCGGTCGTGGTTAATTCCTGATATTCCACGAAAAATATATTCAGTTTCTCAGATCTGTCATAGTCCATCGAGACTTCAAGGTCGTCGTTGGGAAGACATTAAACCATATGATTTTGCTTGTGAACCTGAAGTTAAAATTTTTGCCAGCTCAAAGCAGGAAGATATTTACGGCAACTTTACATTATCTTGTCTAATAACCGGAGATCCTATACCATCATTTTGGTGGAATTTTAATGGCAATCCATTAAATTTGTCTAAAACGGAATTCACTGCTTCCTCCGTTGTCGGCATTATTAATCAAACGTCTTTTCTCCATCTCATTACAAATTATACTAATAATGAGTATAGTTTATCAAGAATGTGGAGCAATATAACAATTTATAATGCAACTGAAAATAACGGTGGCCAATATACGTGTCATGCTCTTAATATTGCTGGAGCAGCAAATGACATAATAAATATTGTTGTTCCACGAGTTTTTATTGCTCCAACGCTCTCTCAAGATGATAACTGGTTTTTATGGATTATTTTTGGTTGTGTTGGAGTAATATTTCTTTTTACGACGGTTTTACTCTCATTATTTTATTTCTGTAATGAAGCACGAAAAAATAATCGTCATGAAAAAGTTAAACTGCAGAACAGTATTAGTTTTGGTGATCAAGAAAAAAAATTATTGGATTTATCAGTAACAACTAATATCGGAGCAAGTGGAACCGCAAGTGAGCCAATCAGCGGAAGAGAAAGCTTAACGAATACATGCAGCTCTGCTGATTTTGAGCTCACCGAACGACCATCGATTTGTGATGCAACAACTGTGACAGTTGAACGATTGAGATCTGATTATAATATTTCCTCTAATTTGAAAAATCTTCCATGTACAAATATTGAGTTTCCACCTCCCCCTCCACAATTCACAAATGGGATTTTACCAACAGGAATTTTTGAGAACATATTTATGTCTATGGCACTCTCGCAAGAAACAGAAAGATGTTATCCAGATTTACTAGACATTCCTGTTCACACATCATCAGTGGTTGATAAATACAATTCTATAAACCCATTGATCAAAAATTCGATTATATCAAACTTCGCTACATTACCTAGAAGAACAAGTAAATCCACCGACATTGGGCCTCACTATGATAATATGGGTCCCCGTATCACTGCCACCGGAAGCTCAACATTTTCATTGACAGAAAATTATGGTATGTCATCCTCCCCAGCTACCAGCGTTATAAAACCACCTATTGAATTTGTTTCTCTCTGAAAAGAATAATTTTATGTGATTTTGAATACACTATGGTTGTTTGTTTAATGCTTGTTTGTGCGATAATTGAATGCAAGAAATCAGAGAATAAACAGCTGTTAGGAGTAAAGATAATGTAAATAATAAAAATAAAGGTTAATAAAAAAATGTATTAATATACGATGCAAGAGTATTAATAAGTTTAAATTGTAAATATTCTAAGAAATTTTTGTTATTTTGTGAATTCACAAGTTACTGTATACAGAATCAATTCGAGAAATTCTAATTACCAGATGACATTTTAATTATAATATTAATATTCTGATATTACAGGCTGAATCATGTAGTGTTTTTATTGTTTTTTATTCATTAGTATTCGATAAAGATGACCTCATACCGAGTGACAATTTGTTATTAACAGCATTGTTACTGTCACGTGAGTTGCGCTGATTTCTGACAAGGAGATTGAAGAAGACTTCGTGATTGACAACTGTACATCGAAATATCTACAAGATCTTTCTGATACATGAATGATTCTATAGTTTTGTACAAGTTTACAGAGTCATATTTTTCAGTAATCGTAAGTATATTAAGGATGAAAGTACACAAAATGACTCTACCAGTAACGTAACAGCAGTAGAAATAGAAATTTGTACAACTTCTTCCTGTGTCAATTGTTAATATTTTGAAAACGTTTTGCAAGACATTTTTTATTCTGTACAATGCGCCGAAGATTTCGAGTACTTTCGATGAGAAAATTGTTTTTATATGAAAAAGGGTCACTTACTATGTAGCAAGAATAGAATCGAAATTTTTTTGTTTGTAACAATTGAATTTTTTATAAACAATTCTAAACGAGATCTACTTCATTTATTGGAGTTCTACTAACGGGAACTGTTTCCGATTAAGAAAGCAACGAAAGAACAACTTACTTAATAAAAAAAGTTATTAACTACTTAACAGAAATAGAAATAAATTTCTGTTGTTAATAACAATTTAATGTGTTAAAAACAATTTAAAATGAGATAAATAAAATCGAAGTCTTTTTATTTATGAGAATTGAATTTGTTCAATACACACTGGGGAACCGGAGCTACGCAATGAATTTGAGTTTTACGGACAGGATGTTTATCTATATAAATGAAAAAGAGTATCTGTCTATAATTTTGAGAAAACTGCCTCAAACTAAGCTCAGAGAGTTATTCACGTGCTATTAAAACGTAAATGTCCATTTTTAGAAATTTTGTATGTCTGTCCGTTCTTTACAAAACTTTACAAAAATGAAAAAGAGGACGTCAGAAGTAACATAGGCTACTTTTTTTCTTGTAAATTGCTCATAACAATCGAATTCATTATAAACAATTATACATAAAATCTATGCAATATATACGAGTCCTACCAACGCAATATTTTTTCTTTTACTAAAAGAAAGTTACTTCTTATGTAAGTAATTTTGAACATTACGTGAACGACGTCGCGAAAATCAGCTAGTTTTCAATAAAGTAAAGGTACTGGCTATGTAACATGATTGACAACATTGTTTTTTTGTTATAAAAAAAAAATCATTCACAAAAGAGCAGAAATCGAATCTCACAATAGAATTCGAATTTTTTCCGTCTATTGTGAATACTTCTGAATTTCTTACTTCGTCTTTAATACTACCACAAAGCACCATGTATTTCACATTAGCTCATTCAACCCTCAGGCTGCGGGAAAATTTCAGTACAAAGTGACCTCTCAGAATATGTAAGATATATACATAATATCTTTGGATATCTCAGATAGAGTTGCTGACCTGACGGCTGATTTATATATCGACCACTCCCGCAGCCTAAAGGTTAAACTATGATTTTACTATTCAAAAAATTTTCCATGAATCTATGATTATGTAACGTTATTATGCACTTTTCGTAAACGAAGTCGTAGGATCTGCTAATCATTTATCCATTCATTCGATCAGTCAGATGTTACTACTAAATACTCATCTAGCATCACACGTGTTTGCTGTCGTCTGTTTGCGTTAATCTACCAAACGGCTAATCTGGTTGCAACCAAACTTTGCAAACAGGTGGAAGGCGTTCCCGAATAAAAATAATTTGTAAAATTTTTATTTTTAAATTACCACCAAATCAGCTTTTGGAATATATCCCAAACTAGCACCGTTAAAGTCCCGTTTGCAGGACAAAACCACCGATTAACCTGATCGGTACCGTAGTAGCACCGCATTCTTAACCGAAAGACGACTGTTTTATTAATTTTAAAAACCGCACAAAAAGCGCCGCAAGACGACTATATATATTATTAAGGTTTAAAAATAGATTAAAATGAAATTAATAATTAATTTAGCTTTTTATTCATATTATAAGTTTACATAGTTATTTTGATTTTCATTAGTATAATTTACAAAATTGTTATTTTGTGTATTATAACCATATGCACTATAGAATTGAGGCTGATTCTGCGGGTAGTAATATTGGAAGGAATAATTTTGATACTGATGCTCATTGGGATTACTGTATTGTGGTGGTCCACAATGAAAATTTCTGTAAGTGCTATGGGGCCAAAATGTGTCTGAGAATGGTAAATTGTTCTTCGTTACTTGATCTATTTCTTTTTGAGATGTACGACTTAATGTGGTTGGATTTTGATGAACATCAGGATTTGCACTATGTACTAATGGGGTCATGGGTACTGATGATGGACTCGTTGAAGACTTTGCGGCTGGTGATGTTGATGATTTTATGGGTGGCTTTGGTGAAGGTTTTCTTGACGTTCTGGATAATGGTGATGTCGTTGATGATGTTCGTGAACGTGATGGTGATAGTGTTCTAGATTCACTTAATGGTGATGATGTTCGTAAATGTGGTGGTGATCGTGGTGCTGATGAAACTGGGAATGATGACCGGCCATTTCCTTTTTTAGCTAGAATGATAAATAAATAATGATTCAAAAATAAGTGCACTGTTTAAATGATTATGTCTGTGGATTTATATACAATTTCAATGTAAAATAATGTAATATATCAATATTTTATTTACTTACATTTTTTAGTTTTCGAACCAGATGAATCATCATCATGAAATCTTTTATTGTTCGCGCTTGCCCTTTTTTCGGTAATGATGTTGTTTTTTTTGTTCCAATCGATTATTATGTCTCGCATTCTACGATTGACGACATCGTTGAACTCTAATAAAGTGATTTCGGTTTTATATCGCTTCGTGATATAGCCTATGGATGAAATATCATCTTATTTTCTCAAAAACTTGATTATAATGCTTACGCTTACTAGGGATTAGTCAAACATTACTTACCAATTATTGCTTGTCTTATCAGCGGTCAATTATTTTACTGTTCCATATTTCACTATGTCTTCAGTTTTTACAATTTTTACGAAAAAATTTCGTATTAATGTACGCTTGTTTTTGTTAGCGTTTGAGACCGCGGTGATTAAATGATTGCTGGATATTATAACATTAGTACCAGGATATAATTCGACCTGTAACAAACGAAAATGTTGAAGTTTATCAAAAATTTTCCCGAACATCAATTCATTAAATTTATTTTTACTTGATGAGACTTTGCATACCTGAGTATTTAGCTGTTGCATTCCCTCTGGATATTTCTTGGACATCATTAACGTCAATAAATCCGGGTGGGTTTTCAAAAGTCTGATAAAATCAGGAGATACTGAAAAAAGTTCATTTATATTAATATTGAATTAAGAAATATTATAGATACTATCTTTGATTTCTAACATATTCGTGCATGTAAGATTTCGAAGAATTTTGGAGAAACATTTCAAAGTAAAATGCTAAAGACATGAAACTTCATGAAATACTTACTTTGGATATTTAAATCTCGGCAAATACATTTTTTGCAATTCTCACAATCAGATTGTGTTGCTGACTTGCTTGTTCCAGGATGTTCTTCCATAATCTCCACTGACTGTTTATCTTGACTGTAGGTTGCAGGTTTTTCAATAGCTTCATTTATGTTACGAACCTGTAGCACTTTGCTATTCAATTGGTTTAAACCTTGCTTTTCTGTAGCTTTTCGTGCCTTCTTTTCTTCGGCTATTTCTTTTTTAGCATCCATTATAGCTGTTGGAATTTCTGGCTTGATAATCCGTCCTCAATTATCAACGATTATTGACTGAAGATAGTCTTAATTACCTGTAAAAACATCACTTTGTAAGTATGATGCACTAACTTATTTTTTATTATTTATTTTGTTTCTGTTTTTACGAATGACTCTATTTTGATCAATTTTGTGGAATTGAAAAAATACAATAAAAGGATTTTTAAAAAAGAATATGATAATAGAAATCCAACATACTTGTAAGTAAGTCTTTGATATTAATAAATGCTGATTCACAGACGCAGTTTTCAATAATCACAAACTATAAAAAAAAATATGCTGCTAACGTCTTAAGATACACTTAAAAACACAATACAAGATACACAAAAAATTGGTCTCTGACCAATAAATTAATGCAGATGGTTTCTTCTTCTTTTTAATTAAATGATACTTCATTAAATGGATAGAATTTTTCAAAAGAACTGATTAATATTCATGTAGCAACTCGCGCTTCTAATACACATTGTTGGGAAAGGGAACTTACAAACTGTGCACAGCAATTAGCTATAGGTTAGTTACTATCGAACACTCGTTATATTCTTCGGCTCTATACTTCGGTATTAGTCCGCATTGTTCGACTTCGAGCATTTCAGAAGATAACGGATGAAACTGTCGTGTTGACATTATACATAAAAAGATAAAATTAAATATGTTACATGAAATGCATATGACATATTGAATATCAACTTTTAAAACTATTGAATTATCAGAGAAATTCTATATTCTTGACTATTTTCTAGGTTACAAAAAATTGATTACAGTATTAAATAAATAAGTCATATGACGAATGCTCATTGAGGCTTTCACGTAAAAATGATATTTGTGATTTGCATTATAGAACACAATAATACTATGCCATACATATTTTCACGTAATTTATTTATTAAATTTGATGATACATTAAATAATCATTATTAAGATACAAAATGTTCAGTATTAACTACAATTTACAATTTTTCGCACATTAACATTTACTGTAAGAATTTTTAATGAATTAAAAATTTTCTTGCATAACTGTATAACGTATATGTTTTCATTGATCGAATTCAATATCATTGAAAGATTTTCCTACATATACTTCATTCCTAATGTTCATTACGTAACACAAACTTATTACCGACTTAATGTCAACTAATTTGATAGGATCACTCACAGTTTTTAATCTGTAAAGATACGGAATTGTTAGCCAACGACATTCATTCAATTTTTCATACTCGACACTCATACTTTTCGGTGCTTGAAAAACAGTTTCTACCTCTGCCTTTTGGAAAAGTACGTAGTATGTAGCACGATTGTTACAATTTATATTACAAATATCACTATCAATGTTTTCACAATAACAAGTTTTGATGAATAATTCGGCAAAGCCAATTTCTGATCCATTTGGAGTATCAATAACTATGCAGTGGGAACAAAAATTTGTTTGACGTTGACAGCTACGTGTATGTATGGTTTGATTGCTTTTTTTTAGTCTTTGAAATGAAAATATATTAACTGCATCTTCTCTTCGAATTCCTATATTAGATAATGGATCAAGAAAATCACGTGGTAATTTATCGTCATAATAGACAAATTTCCCTAATGCAAAGATATTTTCTGATATTTTTTTGCTAACACTGATCCTTCGACCTATAGTTAAAAATTCTATACATAACTTTTTAGAATCCGAATCGTTTTCTAATTTTTCCATCATATTTGTAATAATCATACTATGAACAACTTTTGTATAAATTTGAATGCCTACATATCGAGTGCCGTGTACATAATTAACCATTTTTCCAATCAGATCTTCAAACGGAAAACACGATGTAACCCACAATGGTTCTAGATCCTCCACTACCTCTGGAAGATGTTCAAGTGCATGGATATAAAAAGACATAAATCGGGGATCATATAAATATTGAAATTTAGATATAAAACATGTCAACAGGTATTTACTTTCTTCAAGTTGACTCAACGTAATACTATTCTGATTCAAAATAAAAACACCGAGAACTAATTGTAAATAATGGTTGAAGTATTCTAGTTTTAACAGGTCTTTCAAATATTGGAACCGAGTAAAAGAAGAACCAAGCTTTCAGTTCGCTAGCTTTCAGAAATTTAAAATTTTCTGTAAGCGATCTGGGCATTCTTTTTATAAATTGAGGAGGAATCATGCCATAACTCCAACATTTTTCGAACGACACCTAAATAAACGCAATGCATAACATCTATAGAAATACCTTGAATTATGTCAGGAAGGATATTCGCTAATATGGATGGACCTTTGACGCCATACTTTGGAGAATTTTGCAAAATTATTTGAAGTGCATGTTGCCTATGTTCTTGATGTGATCGTGACCTGCTTCAAATGGATAAATAAATGTGCTTCCGTGAACACCATCTTCACGAATAGTATATCCTGGTATCAAACACCTAGGACAACTGTACTTTTCATTAAATTGCGTATGATTCAAGAAATCAGCTCTAGCAGGAGTATCACATGTTCCGCCAATCAAGTGTGCTTTGAAAGTCTGCGACGTCCTTCTTCCTAGAATTTTTAAATTTACTCCATCATGAAAAGTTAGAAGTTGATCATATATTGGACTTTAATAAAGATTCACAACTGGATCCAATGGCCCAAACCAAATGCCAGCTACAATAATGTTTTCCTTCTTTATTCTTTTACAATATGGCAATTCATTTATTACTAGATAAAATGGCCACACACTATATTTTCGCGATTTAAAAACAAGAGCACCGTCTGCATGCCACATAAAGGATAAATTGAAAATATCCAATGATGGATTATTTCTTGCTACATGGTCTTTATATACACGGCTATCGTAGGTGTCCTCAATTGAATCATTATCATATCGTGTTCGATTATTTAGATAAGAAAGATCATTTACAAAGCCAGGTTTTAATAGAAGCTGTTGTATTTGCGCCATAATTGAAATTTCAATGAAGTAACTTTTCTCGGTATTTCCACATTCACAATTTGAGTTGCCAGTTTTTAATTTTTGATAACAAACAGAACAATAAAAATGTTTCTTTAATGGTATCTGAATATCTTTAAAATAAATCATAAATTTGTAGACCGTCTTTTTATACTTTGAAGATGACGGCATATGTAATGAAATTAATTTCAACAAGTTAGCTAAACCTAAACCTGTTAAGTTGTGCGTTAATGAAAATACGAATGTACTAAGCATACTTTCCGCTAATTACATTGGTGCTCCGTTATATACTGGTGCATCATTTTCATAATTTTCTTCGTCATCACTTTCAACTGCATTTTTTAGAGCTTCATTATCATCTTTATGATCATCGTTATCATCACTTTCTTCTGTTAATAAATCCGATCTTTCTTCTAATTCTCCATTATCATTTTCATTTTCAGTTGTTCTATCTACTAATTCATGATTTCCCTCTTTAATATTTACTCTTTCTTCTAAATTCGGGATGAAATCATTATTCTCCGATAATGTCGACAATCCATCAGTATTATTATAGTTCTGAGATGTGCTCCTCCGTGATCTCCTGTTGTTGCAATTTAAATCATTTGGAATTTATAGTGAGTGTGAATGATCACAAGTTGAAAAAATTATATATCGTGTTCGAAATTTTCCATTGTGCTCAAATGCAGTATACATATCTTAATATTATACAGCGGAATCTCTATAACTCGAACCTCGTTAAGTCGAAAAAAATTGCCATTTCCTTTCGCTGGACCCCTAAATACGCGGTATCTCGAATTATTTAGACTTTGTAACTCGAACAAAATGTTATTTCCCTACGAAGTATTGATAATACATATTTATACTCCATAACTCAAATTTCAATAAGGAGACTCCGTAAGTCGTAGTTAGTAAAATATAATGACGTCTTACCTGGAATTCCCCGGAATAATAGCAATAAAATCCAAAATGAATGTTCGGGTTTGAGGCTCCTAATCTATTGTTTTTGTCTTATACACGTGCAATAAATGAATACATTCATGAAACTTTCTAAGTAACACAGCTGTGAACGTTATGTTTGTTTGAATTATGTTATCGTGTTGACACAGGACACGATTACTTTTGAGCTTGTCCGTCAGTATTATTTTGGCTGTTAACTAGCAACAACATGAGTACAATGCGGAAATTAAAGACTTTGACTCTACGTGAAAAAAGCGATGTTATCAATGCGGTAAAAAGTGGCATGAAACAACAATACGTCGCAGCTCAATACGGATTGCCAGCAAGCACTTTGTCTACAATAATTAAGAATGAAGCCGAAATATTGCAAAGGTATGAATCAAGTGGCAATTTGTCTAGCAAACGACGGCGTCTAGCTGAGTTTCCTGATGTAGAAGAATGCTTACTCACCTGGTTCAAACAGTGTCGGGACAAAAACATAAGTGTATCTGGGCCTCTCTTACGCAAAAAGGCAGAAGAATTTTCAAAATCACTGGGACACAGTTCTTTTCGTGCCAGCAATGGTTGGTTGGTGAATTTTAAGAAGCGTCACGAACTTGTGTTTAGGAAAGTTTGCGGCGAAAGTGCGAGCGTCAATAACGAGATATGTGATGAATGGATAATTGAGTTGCAGAGTTTATTGAAGGATTATAAACCAGAAGATGTCTTTAATGCCGACGAGACTGGCCTTTTTTTCAAGTGCTTGACTGATAAAACACTTATTTTTAAAAATAAAAAATGTCATGGCGGTAAGCACAGTAAAGAGCGATTAACAATATTGCTAGCAACAAACATGACAGGCTCTGAAAAACTTAAGCCATTAGTTATAGGAAAGGCTAAAAAGCCTCGTTGTTTTTCTGGTTGTAAATCTCTACCACTAGACTATGATGCTAACAAGAAAGCATGGATGACAGCTGATATATTCAAAGGATGGCTCATCAAAGTCGACAAGAAAATGATTAAGGAGAAACGAAAAATATTACTCTTCATTGACAACTGTACAGCTCACCACATAATTCCGCCATTAAAAGCCGTGAAAGTTAATTTTTTTCCACCCAATACAACATCTAAGTTACAGCCCTTAGATCAAGGAATAATAAAAAACTTCAAATCCGCTTACAGAAAGGAAGTTGTTAGGAAACTGATAACAGATATGGAACAAAAGTCAGCTTCATCTATTAATGTATTGCATGCAATTAGGATGATAGACAAGGCTTGGAGAAGTGTATCTAAAACTACAATATCAAATTGCTTCAAAAGCTGTGGATTTTCGTTGCCACAAGAAGAAGCTTCGGAAGAACCCCTTGAGCTGGACGTGAGTGTAGAAGCTGACTGGAATAAACTTCAGAATATAGAAGTTCAATTTGAAGATTTTGTGGCATGTGATGAAGGGCTAGCTACTACTGGAACGCTAACTGATGCTGAAATCATCGACACAGTTAATCAGAATATGGATGACGATGATGTTAATGAAAATGACGTTGATTATACTGATTCAACAAGTTTTGAGCTCCCAATAACAAATAAAAAAGCCAGAACTGCAATTAACACTCTACGAGCTTATGCTGAAAGATATGATGATATCGAGGATCATGTATTCGGTTCATTGTTTGAGCTTGAAAAAATAATTGATAAAAAATCTGCCAATAGTTTAAATCAAAAGAAGATAACGGATTTTTTTTAGTGTACAGTGTACTTCATCAATATGTAATTTGTATTAATATGTAACAAATATATGTACATACGATAAAACTTAAGTTGAATTGTAATTCAATTTCGACTCTACAAATCGAAAAATACACTTAGAAATCACGCCTCTGTAAGTCGAAATTTTAGCAGTTAAGTCATATGTATCTCGAAGTTCTTGCTAAGTCGAAAACTCGTTAACTCGAATTTTTTTGCATTTCCCCTGACATTCGAGTTATAGAGATTCCACTGTATATAAAAATCACTTTCTACATTTTTTCCAAATTAATCAATTAAAAATGGATGATGATTTTTGAAAATCGCATGCGATTCGGCTGATACAGTAATAAAAATATGCTTATAAGGTATCGAAATGATTTTTGTGCAATGAATATGTTTTCTTAATAGTCGTGTCATATACATATAATCTAAAATGGAAGAAATTATAAAATTTAAAATTAGAAAATACAATCTCAACTACGTACCTATCTTCAAGTAAAGTATGAGGATTTCTTATTCATCTCAATAACTCATATCTTCGACTGCGACTGTAATCATTCAGATTACTTGATCCATTAATTCTTGGCATTATAGAATGTTAGATGTATTTTTTAGTACTTTACTTAACTAAACTGAAAAAATCTCACTGCTTTCAATAAATGACTATATAGATAAAATAGCAATTTGTTAATAAAAAATTTTTGGTTGATAAAATTGCGATAACTTTTAGTATATTTTAAACTTATAGCTTCAACAAACACGAAATTGTCAATGACAATCTTGTAGATACTGTTGTTATTTATATGCTCGCATTACCGTTATATTGTATATTCTTTTTTCTTCTACAAGCGTAGTGTAGCCAATCATTTGGCATATTTGGATTACTCACATTTTAATTGGACGAAATTGCATTCAGGTAGGGTCTCTTGTTTTCAAGTCTATGATGGTTCTTTTAAATGTGCGCAATTAAAGTCATTGGCAAATATACCTAGATACAAAATTAGTGACATTGACCTTTCGGTTTACAGCTACGAATTCTATTTAGTAATAGTTGTAAAGTCTCATAAAATTTGCCATCATGTAATAACTGCGCATAAATCATCGGATAATTTAAATATATATCTCTTGTCATCAAAGATAGTATCCTGTCATTAACAAACAATGAATAACAACTTCGTAGAAAATTCTTTCCTATATCTGACAATAGTGAATAGTTTATACATGTATAAATTTTTACATAATAGAATTTTTCAAACAGAGAAAAAATTGCGTACACTATTTGGAAATTTTCTAGAACTATTTAACCACTGTTATCTTGTCAAGTATATATTTTTTAAAGTCTTGATAGTTTTAGTTAACGAATGGCTGATAGTATCGATCGAAAACAAAAAACCAAATTGAGTTATTCTTTAAAATATAACATAAAGAACGGTTAACTAGACAGATGGAGTTTTTAAGCGGAAAAAATGATTAAATTCATTTATAAACTGATAACTAGAAGTTGCAGAATTCTGAGAAGGCGCAAAATTAACGAATAACTTCCCTTTCGATTTAATGTGCATTAAGGTTGTATTTTGAGAGAACCGCAAATTATTGATTGGGTTGATTTATTTTGAGCTAAAAGATCGTTAGCGATCGAGCTACGTCGTAGGATGTGGTCAGGAGAGGTGCACACACACAATAGACACTTTTCTTGAGCTTATTATCAGTTTTATTACAAAAAAAAAGTGTTTTTCAAGTTAACAATTACTTATTAACAATATACAAACTTAACTGAACTTTATTGTAACAGAATAGAATTTATCAAGAGCTTGAAATGATTAGGATTTGCAAAATAGGAACGAGCGATAATCGAGCACGTGTACTTGAGCGTCGCTTGAGCGTTAATGGCTGCTAACACGTTGTAGCCGGCGTCGGTAGACCTAGCACAATAATAGGACACCTATCATTGGCTAGGTTGAAGAAGACGAGCTGTAATTAGTTGAGCGCTAAAAGAAGAGCTAGGATAGGGCGAGCGTATCGGGTGAGCTCGACTGAGCACGAGCTGGGACGAGAGCGAGTCCAACTGACAGGTTGCGATAACCTCTCGCAACAGAGGTAAAAAACCTTTTTATGTTAAATATTAAATCAAATATTATTTGCAAATTGACAGAAAGAATATAGGGAAATTATATTTATTAAACGCGGAGTTATTTATAAATAATTAGATTCTCTTTTTATTTGTTAAGAGGAATCGGACGGCGTTACTTTAGTGCCAATTTAGAAAGTTTTGGCCGCAATGCTGTTTTCGAATTTATTCTATACAGTGTTATGTCGGTATGAATTTAAAAGTTTTTTTACAGGGTACCGTTTCGGTGCTATTTTGGGGATTCAAGCAGTAGTGTTTTGGCGATAATTTAATATTTTCAGTTTCTTATTATTCACAGGAGCTCTGTTGGTGTCAATTTGGAACTTTTTGAGTATCTAGAGGTGTTTCGGTGGTCTTTTTACATCTTTTATTTTTACTCGACGTTGTCGAAAAGGTTATATGCTACTTTTTATTCATGACTAATAATTAAATATAAATAATAAGTTTGTTATCGAGTCCAAGTGCAAAGTGTCACAGTGCCAACTAAAAAGTAAATCTATCGCTCCTTTAGATAATCTGAACTCTGAATAAATTTTAACTGAAACAAATTACCAAATCAAAAAATTTGAAAACACTTTTGGTAGAAAAAATGCTTTCTTCCGTTTACCGCCCAAAATTCATAGGTTAAGTGAGACAAACTTTGCATTGGTACTACTCTAAATCAGTGTTACAAACATTTTTACCGATCATCATTTGTTTTTATTTTTTAGAAAGTACATCGATAGTTTTTTTATTTGCTGTCATTGTCTTTATATCTTTTCTTTTATAGTTTATATTTTAATCCTTCTATTGAATCATGTTTTTTTTTCAAAAGTATCCGCTACAGTGGCAAATAAAATTTTCTGGTTCCTAGGAATCATGTTTTTTTCAGAAACTGCCATGTAAAAATGGTCCAAATATTCGCAGTCAATATAAATAATCTATATCTATTCTACTAAATATCTGATGTCTGCTGGTTCGCGGTGATCTTCAGAATGGCTAATCCGATTGCAACCAAATTTCGCAAGCATGTAGTTTTGTAACAATTTAAAACGAAATCTATGCAATATATTTATCTTCTGCTTAACAAGAAATTTTATCATTCAATAAGAAAAAAAGTTTGTAACGGTTTATTTTGAAAGTATTATGCAATTTAAGATTTTGCCTCTTGCTCGTCGGTTTCCAGGGCTTTCTGGAACAATCTTTAAATATTTACAATTCAACTGACGAATTGAGCAATTAACAAATGTACAATATTAATTATAATACAGTAAAACCCGTTTAAGACGATTTTACAGGGACTCAACCAAAAACGCGTCTTAAGCGGGAAAGCGTATTATGCGGGATGTATGAAAACATGTCTCAAGTTGCAAGGACTGATGCAAAATAGCGTATTTTGCGAGAAATCGTAATAAGCGTGATCGTATTAAACGTGTTCTACTGTAATAAGGAGTAAATGAATTTTTACATAAATAATTATTTAAAGCAAACGGCTAGCTCTGTGTGTAAAAGAGAAAGATAGAGATGATTATTCGGTAGCCTGAAGGGCTATTTATTTCGGAACAGATCGCGAGCAAGTATCCGACTTGCAAGACAATGAACTTCGCGGCGGGGGAGAACGTCTTACGTTCTCGGGGTGACCGTGTCTTACCCGAATCTTAAGGGGTATCAGGATAGTAGTGTATAGCACTTACTTTCCTAGTGCTGATGGTTTAAGAGTCTTAGTCTTATACCACCCGGGGATTGAATGGCCTCAATGCCTCGCGGGCTTCGACTTTATATGATTTCCCCCACCAGTTTACCTAATGCTAATGCGCATTAATTATAAAATGCTGTTAATGCTATCGTGCATTAATTATAGAATGATAATAAAATTTTTTTAATAGATATTCTTGTAGGGAATGATGAGGAGAGTTTTTGTGCAAATCTTTATTACTCGGAAACAATAATTAGTATAGGCTCAAGCTATTAAGACCACTTTTTTAGTAGTTCAACTATAAGAGCTGATTTTTTTGAATCCCCTAAAAGTGGTCGGGTTTCTTGCCCCCGTCTATTAGATATGTTTCTATTTGCAAATTTTTCATACCCCTGAAGGACGTAAACTATTTTTGTTACAAAGATACACTAAGTCCTACAAGAGCGTTGGATTGATACTGAGTAGACTATTTAGTGAATCGGAGGAAAATTTATATCAGATAAAACTTTATTTAATGTGCTACAACGCGATCCCAATTCATAAGAAATAAAACCTCTTTCAATTTGACGTAGAAACTAACAACATTCAGGCATGCTTTTGACCAGTTCCTTTGCATATTGTACAGGTAAACACTTCAATTTTTTTCTGATTGGTAATATGTATCATTAATATGTATTTGAGAGGAAAGCATATACACACTTTAAATAATTTTATTACCAATTAAAAAATCAGCTGAGGTTCTTACCTGAGCAGTATGCAAAAATTAATCAGAAGCATGCCTTAATGTTTCAAGGGTATACGTCAAAGTAAAAAAGATTTTATTTCATATTATCTGTGATTGCGTTCTTATACATTCAACATAGTTTTAAATAATATATGTTTTTATTCGATTCATTGAATAGCTAACTAGATCTCATTCAAACGCTCTTGTGAGACTTCGTGTACTTGGTTTAAGACGAGTCCTTGCAAAACTAAGAGCAACTTTTCGGACTCTCCCTCTCCCAAATAGAGTTGAAGTACCGTTTGTGGCCTATCTACCTTATTTGGCCACCTGATGCCCTAATTATTATGTAAATAATTTATAAACGTTATAGCATTATGAATTTGGTTCGTAGTAAACAACTTTTATGAAAATATTA